AGGATGATAGGGCGCGTCCGAGAGGGGGGAGAGGGTGGGTGGGGACTACGGCTGGCGTTGCAAAGATAGTGTGCGACGTTGCACCGCCGGTCCGCGTGTATCACACGCTATCCTCCGCCTTGCGGACGGCGTGAACCGAAGAAGCCCTGTCAGGGGGATGGCGTGCACGGAGGGGGCCCTTGCGGGGGGATCGCCTCACATGGATGGCGTGCTCCGAGATCGACGTCGCACGCTGTCTCTGCAGCGCCAACTTTAGGGGGTGATATCATAGCCAGGCCATGATCGTTTCCGGATCTCATGGCCCCCTCGTCTCTTTCAGCCCGCCTCCTCCTCCTCCTCTCTTTCCTCCTCCTCCTCCTCCCTTTCCTCTCCCTTTCCTCTTACTTTTCCTCTCCTTCCTCCTCTTCTCTCCCTCCTCCTCCTTTTCCTCCTCCTCCTCCTCCTCTCCTCCTCCTCCTCCTCCCTGGCCCCCCCCGCCTCGTCGCGTAACCTTCCCTGGGGCCACGAGGCGCCTCCCCCACCCCCTCGTCCGGCCCCCCCCCCCCCCCGCCCTCTCTCCGGCAGCCTTCGGTGTCAGTAGCTTATCCGCCGCCTCTGCCCCTCTCCCCCCCAAGCACGGGGAAACCAAATGGTACCCATACCGTTACTATTCGGACCTCTCCTGGGGTGCGTTCTGACCAGAATCCCCCAGCGAGTCCAGCGGTGGCGTCGAGAGCCTCTCAGGAGGCCCAAACGAGGGGGAAAGCGAGCCAGGGGTCGTGGTATGGGTGCCTTCGCCTCCTCCGAGAGGAGCGGCCTCGAGTTCCTCAGGCGCCTCCTCGAGCACGACCCCCGCAAGCGCGCCAACGTGGAGGCCAGCCGGCCCCTCTGGCGGGGTGCGCGCGCGCGCGCCTGGTGCGGACAACCGGGCGGCTGGGATGTCTGCATGACGACGGGGTGAGAAGGATGGTTAGGATCAGTGTGGGCAACGTTAGGGGGGGATGGGCGTAGCGGCGTAGGGGTCAAGCGCTCTTGGGGCCTCTAGAGGATAGTTTTGGGGCCTGTTCGGGGCATCTTGGGAGCCTCTTGGAGGCCTCTTAGGGTATCCTGGGGGCCTCTTGGGGGCCTCTTAAGGGCCTCTGAGGGCCTCCTGAGGGGCCTTTCGCGGCCAAGGGCTCGAACTGTCCGTTCGGGTTCCCCCTGTGGGCCCCCTCTTGGAGCCGTCTTGGGGCCTCTTGGGCCGTCTTGGGGCCCTTTGTGGCCGTCTGGGGGCCCTCTTGGAGGCCTCTTGGGACTGTCTTGGGAGGATGCATCGACTCCCAATCGCCCATTGATCGCCGATAGGAGTCTGATAGCCCCACCTGCCCAGGAAGGTCCTGTCTCGCTCTCCGGGGCCCATCGCCGATCCATGGGCAACTTATCGCCGATTCCAGGTCGATGTTCACCCCCTATGCCAGTCCCCCGCTATCGTTGCCCCTCAGAGGAGGAGGAGGATGAGGAGGAGGAGGAGGAGGAGGAGGAGGAGGAGGAGGAGGAGGAGGAGGAGGAGGAGGAGGAGTAGGAGGAGGAGGAGGAGGAGGAGGAGGAGTAGGAGTAGGAGGAGCAGGAGGAGGAGGAGGAGGAGGAGGAGGAGGAGGAGGAGGGAGGAGGAGGGGTAGGAGCGGTAGGATGATGATGATGATGATGATGATGATGATGATGATGATGATGATGATGATGATGGTGGTGGTGGTGGTGGTGGTGGTGGTGGTGATGATGATGCTGATGATGATGATGGTGATGGTGATGGTGATGGTGCTGGTGATGATGATGATGATGATGATGATGATGATGATGGTGATGCTGGTGTTGTTGATGATGATGACGATGATGATGATGCTGATTATGATGATGACGATGATGATGCTGATTATGCTGCTGCTGATGATGATGAGCAAGCAATCAAGCAATCAAGCAAGCAAGCAAGCAAGCAAGCAATCAAGCAAACAAGCAAGCAACCGAGCAATCAAGCAAACAAGCAATCAAAAACAAGAAGTCATGCAGGCAAACAAGCAAGCGAGCAAGCACTAATCCAATGATCCATGAAAGTTCTACATTTCATGCACAGCAGATGTTTGGATATAGGTGGCGGAGGCTGATGATGAGGAGGACGAGGAAGAGGAGGAAGAGGAAGAGGAAGAGGAAGGAGGAGGATGAGGGGGAGGAGGAGGGGGACGAGGAGGAGGGGGAGGAGGAAGAGGAGTCATATAATCAGAAGGTCTATCCCCTTGGCATCTCCTCCCTTCCTGCCTTCACCCCTTCCCATATGGAATCTGGAATCAATAATCAGTTATAGTTCCCGCCTGCTCCTCCCTCCTCCTTCTCATCTTGCGCATCATTCCCTCGGCCTCCTCCCCTCCTCCTCTTCCTCCTCCTCATCATCTTCCTCCTGCGGCAACTCCTAAGCCCTCCCACCACCGCGCGACAGGAGGCTCTGCAACACTCGTGGATGCAGCTCGCCAACGTCACCGCCGCCGCGCAGGAACCGCAGTCACCGGCGCGCTCTCGCGCGCCCCGCGGTCCCCGTTGTCATCGCGGGGCTGGGGGGTAGGGGATGCGTGGACGTGAATCAGTCGAACGAGGAGGAGAAGGAGGAGGAGATGGAGGAGGAGGAGGGGGAGGCGGAGGACGAGTACGAGGACGAGTACAAGTATGAGTATGAGTATGAGTATGAGTGTGAGTGTGAGTGTGAGTCTGAGTATGGTTATGATAATGCGTATGAGTATGAGTATGGGTATGGGTCTGGGTGTGATGATGGTGGTGGTGATGATGATGATGCGGAGGAGGAGGAGGAGGAGGAAGCGGGACGGGGATGAAGAACAAGATGAGTTTACTAACAAGACCGCCCTGCGGGGGGCGGGGGATGGGCGCGGCGCCCCCCTCAGTTCACGTAGTTTCTCTTGCTTTGTTCGCCGTGAGTGGGCTCCCTCGAGGTTTTTTCCAACGCCGAACCAGCACCGTTGAACCGACGACCACGATTCGTTCACGTCGGTGATGGTGGTGAATGTGCTCGTGAATCTGATCATGGCGATGCCGAGGACCGGGTAGCATGTTTGTATGTAGTTGCGCATCAATGTATGCACATATGTATGCATATGTCTATAAGGGGTGCATATAATATTGAATGTACATATATATATATATATATATGTATATGTGTGTATATATTTACACAACATTTTTTTCGTACTCTCTATATGTGTACAGGAATCCGAATTCGTATATGAGGGACGGTATCTACGAACAAACGTCTCTGCACACGCACATGTACGCATGTGCCTATTACGCGCATATGTTTGATATGCCGGCGTACGTGCATTCATGTACGACACTGGTAGATGTTTGATTATTTGTGGTTCTATTTGCAGTGCTCCACTATACATGTAATTATGCCAATGCCCACACCTGTGTACGTGCAGATTATTACATTCGTATGCCTCTCTATATGTATGTATATATATATATGTAGAGAGATAACGTATTACGCCGTTATTTGTACCTGTATCCAGCAGCCGTGCATAATTGAATCTAGCAGCAGACATCTAGAGGTTTCTATCGTTGCCTCCTTGTTTCTCTGTGTATTTGCCTAGAGTTCGGCTGGCCTTCCCACATTCTATAATCATGTATGCACATTCTAGTTGCCTGTCTTGCTGTCTATATGGGTACGTGTATGTTGATGTATGAAAACTATCACATCCATGCTTGCCATTTGGAGCTCCTATCTTTGCCGAAACATGCTAGTTAGCGTGGGCCCCACACAGTGACATCGTACAATATTCGCGGTGGTCCAGTCAATATGGTGCAATCTCGGTGGTGCAATCAACGCGTTGCAGTCTAGGTGGTGCAGTCCACTTTGACTGTCTGAAAGCTGTCCTCTCCACTGCTTGTGCAAACATCCCACCCACCCACCCGCAACTTGGTTTGCAAAACCTGTTCAGACCGACTACGACGACACCGACGACAACGACTAGGACGACACCGACGACGTCTCCGACGACTTCGACGACGACAACGACGCCGACGCCGACGACGACGAAGACGACGACGACGCCAACGAAGGCGACGACGAGGGAGGAGGAAGGACGACGACGGCGACAACGACGACAACGACGACAACGACGAGGGAGGAGGGAGGACGGCGACGACGCGAACGACGACGAAGGAGGAAGGACCGCGACGCCGACGACGACAACGACGAGGGAGGAGGAAGACGACGACGACAACGACGACGACGACGGCGACGAAATAGGAGGGACGACGACGAGACGCCGACGACGGACGACGACGACGACGTGGGAGGAGGAGGAAAGACGACCACGGCGACAACGACGACGGAAACGACCACGACGCCAAAGAGGACGACGACGACGAACACGAGAAAAGACAGAGGACGACGTAGGCGACGACGGCGGCGACGACGCGGGAGGAGGGAGGACGGCGACGACGACGACGACGACGCCGGAGCGCGCGCGCACGCTTTTGTTGAAAATCCGTGTTGCGAAACCTTGGGTTTTGGTAGGTTTTTTGGACGCGCGATTTCGAAATCCTTCCGAAACCGATGGGTTTCGAAGGATTTCGGCGTACGCGCGCGACGACGCGCGCGTCTGCACTTCGTTTTTTTTTTTTTTTTTTTTTTTTGCAGAGGGTTCTCGCCACGGCACACGCGCAAGGGCGTTCGACAGATTTCGACATGCGCGCGCGCGACGCCCGTTTGGTAGCATTTTGTGAAAATCTTGAAAACCCATGGTTTTCTTAAGATTTCGCAAGAGCTCGCGCGGAAGCTTTTTTAGCAAATCAGTGTTGCGAAACCATGTGTTTTTGTATGTTTTTTTGGCAACTCGATTGCGAAATCCTTCCAGCACCGAAGGTTTTTGAAGGATTTCGGCATGCGCGCGCGACGACGCGCGCGTGTGCACCTCGTCTTTTTTTGCAAGGGATTCGCGAACAAGTGTTATGCTAAAACAAAAAATGTCACCGCATAGTGTCTTTTACACGGGGCCCTCAGGGGGGGGGGGACACCGGTCTAGCTGGGATGGTATGATTTCATATTTAGGAGAGACGAGTGTGCAGAATCTATATATATACACATATATATATATATGAAATTATATTATCCCAGGTGGAAGCCTTAAGTCCGGGGGGGTAGAGTCTATTTTCTTTTTAGAAAGGATACTTAACGAGACGCAATCGATGTGGTGCGGTGCACAGCAATGCAAAGCGATGAGCCGTAATTCCAAGCAGTGCCAAGCAATACCCGGCAGAGCGATGCGAAACAATGCGCAGAAGCCGCAGACGCGGGGATGGTGGATTCCGAGCCCCCCCTTGGGCCCCAGACTTAGGGTCAGTGGATGCACAACCCCGGGAGGCGCGATCAGTTGAACCGTAGCCTTTTAGGGTCAAGCCGGGCTCGCGGCATTCCGTGCAACCTGGCCCACCTAGCGCGCGGGCGCGCGCGCGGGGTTCGCGCAGGGTGATTGTGCCGCGCCTCCCGCCGCTGCTGGTGCCGCGGCCGGCGCGCCCGCTGGGCGCCAACGGGGCCTGGGCGGCGCGCCGTGGTCCCCGATCCGCGCCTCCCCGATGAGTTGGTGCGTGCGGGTGTCGTCTCCAAGGTATTCGCGCTGGTGCCCGAGATGGTGGAGATGATCGCTTTTGTTGAAGCGGTGGCTGGCTCGGAGGGCCCAGGTGTTACCGCGAACAGGCCTAGAGCAGTTGCCCGTGCTTTTCTCCTGGCGCGAGGCATCCGCGGCAGGGCGGGCGTCCCGTGGGGAAGGGTTCTGAACTTGCGCGCATGCAGGCTTTCACGTCGGACCTGGCAGCGGACATTCGAGTCGCTCGCGCAGCTGATGCTGGAGCAGGCGCGCGCGGACCCTGCCCGAGATTACCCCGGAGTGTGCAGTCCGTCCGGCCATCTCAAGGGCAATCGCAGGTGGCACTCTGGCGAAGAGTACCTGGACGCATGCGCTTTGGAGGCCAGTTCGCTGGCCTTCGTCCAGGTCGGGGGGGCGCTGGCGCCAGGATCACGTGATCCTGCGAGTCCAAGCCTCGCGGGCCACTTTCGCCGTGGCGGTCCTCCAGAATATCGAGGGGGGGCTTGCCCCGTGGGCGCGGCGCCGCGAAGGCAAGGCCGACTCGTTCAGCCACCCGCGGCAGTGGGGCAAGGGCGCGGGGCGGGCGGGGTGGTGGCAGGCATGGGTCCTCGCCGCGGCCCAGGAGTCGGGGAGGCCCCAACGTTCGTTCGCGTTGGGATTTCCCAACGTCCTACGCGGGTTTCTTGTTTTCCAAAAGCACGGTTTCCGCCCCCCCCCCCCCGCCCTGTTCCACCGTCCTCCTCTGGCTCACGCCCCCCCCCACCGCCCTTCGCGAACGCCGTGCCGTGCCAATGCCGTGCTGCGCCGCGCCGGCGCCTTGCCGCGCTGGGCCGCGCCGATGTCATTTCACGCGGGGCCCGCGCCATCTCGCGCCTCGCAGTGCCCCGCGCGCCCCCAGGGGGGCCCCGTCGGGCCGCGGCAGCAAGGGGGGCGCCTCCCGTTGAGCCCACGACCGCGCGCGGGAAACCTTGGCGCTGGGAATTCCGACGGCGTAATCTAGAGGCTGCCGCCTCTGCCCTGCTTTATTGCATCGTTGGCTCGTTGGCTCATTGGCAGTCTTCTGCCTCTCCGCTTGCGCGCGCCTGACAAAAGGGGGCGCCGCGAACGTGTCGGGCGCCTTGGGCCGCCTTGGAGCGTTCGGGGGTTCTGCAGGTGACCGCGTCGAAATTATGCAGCAAACGCTTTGGAAGCATGGGTGACAGTGGGCTGTCGGCGCCCTCGCCAGAGTCGTCGGGGAGGCGTTTTTGGAACGATGTTTCGGTGACTCGTGGAGAAGGGCGTAGAGTTTTGCTTGTTCGGTCCGGCTTCGGTCCTCCTCTGAGACACCGCGTCGAGCAACCTCCCGCTGTCTCCCTGTCATTGCCGCGCATCCTTTTCGGGCCCTGGGCTTGTCCAGCCCAGTTCTCAGCGGTTGACAGTGTCCATGTCCGCCGTGCGCGCCGAGATGTCTTCGTGTCTGTTCGGGTGTTTCTGTGGGCCCTTAGTTGGGTCCGTCGTGGCGCCCTTCTGGACCGCGCGTGGGGCTTCCTGATCGCGCGCGCTTGGAAACCCGCGAGGCTGCGGCGGACGTGCATTCCGATCCTATTGAAATGGCCAGTTGAATTTTTACGTGCGCGTCAACGCTTATTGCGCAACGATGCAGGATGGGCGTCGGCAGACGCAGCATATTGATGGATCGCCACGAGTCCTGTGGCGGTGTAAGGCCGTTCGGCCCCTCCGAGCACGTCCGAACGCATTACTCTTCCTTCCCCTCCTCTTCCCTCCTCCTCCTCCTCCTTCCTCTGCCTCCTCCGTCTCCTTCCTCCTCGTCCCCCTCCTTCTCGCGTCCGTCCAGTTTGCTCCCCCTTCAAGAATCGACCTCTGGACTTGTCTGGCCGTGCGTTTTGGTTTCAGA